ATTGTAAAATATCTCTATATGACAGAGCAGTAGTCCCTTGAGAACCTTCCACCCCTAAAAGTGGAGGTTTTTCTAAGTCACAAATAGTCTGTTTCACTTCCTGAATAGCCTCTAAATTTTTGTCACTCTGAGCAACAAGCAGCTGTTTGACATCCTCTTTCGTTGCCAACAAATCAAATTTCTGAAGCAGGAAATCTGATATGGAATTTTTCCTAATTACCTCTTCGGCGCTCTTCACTAAGGTAATAAATTTATCTGTAATAAATCTAATATGTTCCTCGGTACCCAATCGCCCTTTTGGGTTATTACGGAAATATCTCTTTAAATCCTCAATGGCTTCCTCAGATTCCTCCAGAAATTCTTCAATAGCCATCACTGAGTATAATAACTTCTAAAATTAATAATTTTCAAAAAAAAAAGTAATATGAAGAAAGAACATACGACTTCCGGTAAAAATTCTGGAATCTTCTATGGACCGTTACTATGGCAACAGTCATTGTAGAAGAATGTTGAAAATTTTAAAAGTATTCAGTTTTCAAAAACTAATAACTTCGCAAAAAATTGTCGTACATTGAAAAACTTAACAGATTCTTAATCCACACGGAAAATGCTATCCAGAAATATATAACATTTAGAGCTGAAAGTAAGAATTTCAGCAAAAACTCAATTCGAATACAGAGCAAAATTTTCCTGCATCCATTGACTAAGCCATTTAGCGCCCTCTGACCGGTGTTTTGGGACAGATACAGAGTGTTGCTTGTTGATTTTTTGCCTCATGGTGAAACGATCAATTCAGCTGCATACTGAGAGACTAAAAAAACTGCGCCGTGCAGTACAAAACAAAAGGCGGGGCTTACTGAGCAAGGGTGTCATTTTGCACCACGATAATGCTCGTCTACATACGTCAAATCAAACTCAAGACCTAATCACATCATTTGGCTGGGAACAATTAGACCACCCTCCATACAGTCCCGACCTAGCGCCGAGTGACTATCATTTGTTTCTGCATTTGAAGAAGCATCTGGCAGGGCAACGCCATAACAATCACAACGAAGTCAAAACGACCGTTCTGCAGTGGTTGTCTCATCAGGCGGCAACATTCTTTGAGGATGGAATACAAAAGCTGGTCCCACGATACGATAAGTGTCTCAATATTAATGGGAATTATGTAGAAAAGTAGTGTAAAATATGGGCCTTCACATAAATAAAAATTTTGTTAAAAATGTTTGCTTTTTTTCTTTATATTTCAAAACAGTACTTACTTTAAAAACACGCCTCGTATATGCAATTTTATATCATTGTATTATATATGTGTTGGCAATTTTATGTAATTCAGTCATGTAATTTCAGATTAAGAAATTGGAATAAAAATTTTAATTTTTAGAAAAAGTCTTTAATTCAAAAATATATGTACATTATAGAAATTATCAGTTTGATAATCCATACAAAAATGTGTTTCAAAGATAAGCAATATTGCAATAATAATTTTCTAAATTTATCTAATTGTTGTCAGATTTAATGGCTTCCTTGAAATCTTGTAACAAATTAAGTGGAATCTCATTTTCTATCATTTGCAGTGCACATTTATATAGTTCTCCATAATTAATTGATAAATCAGGTTTATTTTTGGAAAACAATTTCTTATGCCTAGCAGAAATACAGTTTGATTAATCCATCCTATTTGGATCAAAAGGAAACAAACCACATGTTTCAAACCCATGTTGAATTGTTTCCAATTTCAAAGTTTTCTTGTAAGTGTTAAAGAATAAAGATGCAAAGTTAGTTTTGTAAACTGATTTTGATGATTGTTGTTTGTGTTTTTTGACATTTCTCCTCTGACATTTAAGTGGTCGAAAAATTGCAAAATCACAAGGCTGGATAATATGAGTTGCATTTGGCAACAAACAAAAAAAGAAAATTCTTTTCTCAACACAAAAATTATACAGTTTTTTATTTATAGGTGATTTATGTCCGTCAAGAAGCAATAATATAGGAAACTGAATATTCTTATCCAGAAGACAGAAGGTATTAAAAGTCATTTGCAACATATTCATAAAATGTGGCACTTATCATTCATCCCGAATCACTTTTTCTGCCTACAGCAAAGCCATCTGGAACCGAATATGCAATATGCTTTGGAATTCTCTTGTATAGGAACACTATTATAGGATCTACTGACTGGCCACTTGCAGAAAAATTACACAATACTGTGATACAGTTTTTCTTGTCCTGATNTATTAAAAGTCATTTGCAACATATTCATAAAATGTGGCACTTATCATTCATCCCGAATCACTTTTTCTGCCTACAGCAAAGCCATCTGGAACCGAATATGCAATATGCTTTGGAATTCTCTTGTATAGGAACACTATTATAGGATCTACTGACTGGCCACTTGCAGAAAAATTACACAATACTGTGATACAGTTTTTCTTGTCCTGATGCAATGTTATAAAAGTTCGTATATGATTTAGGTCCAGAAGTTTGCCAATTTTTGGACAAAACAACATCCCTGTTTCATTTGCATTGAAGATACAGTAAGGATTTTGCAGAATATCACTTGCACGTTCTTCTCTCAAATAATTATTTAATTCTTAAAACCAATTCTTTATCATCTTTTTTGAAACTGCTGCTCACGCTTTGGATATCACTTCTGTATTCTTTGCTGCTACATTAGGTGCCTTTTTAGAAAAAGCTTTAGCCATTTTTTTCCTGGGTGATCATTATTAAATGGGTTCTTTTGTTTCATATCTTTCATAACTTTCTGAACTGTGTCTTTTACTTCATCAGGATGCATGGGTAAACTCAATTCGGCTTTCCCAATAATCCATTTTTCCTCTGCTTTAGTTAATGTTGTCCATTTTTTGCTCCATTGGTATCTTTCCATGTAATTTATTAAAATTTCTTTTGAAATGTTACATTTTTTGCTAGCCTTTTAGCATTTATTTTATTTTCATGTACTGCTTCTACAGCTGTATATAAATCTTCTTCACTATACTGAAAACGTCCATAGGCTTTTTCTTTTTATTTATTTCATCTGCCATTTTGAATTTATCTGAACAAAAATAAATTCAAATATCTTTAATTATTCATCTCAAACCATTTTAATTTGCAGCAATGAATGACTACATAACTTTGAACCATGGTCATTTTTTGAACCATGGTCATTTTATTTACTGGTACAGGTAGGTTTTTTGGTCATTCACTCATACCTTAGTATGAAACAACATTCACAGATTTTGAATTCTGTGCTCAGAAATGAAATAACCCATATTACTTTATCAGCATTAAATGACCGAAGTATTCCTTCACTGGAGAAGAATCACTTTTCAGATCCAGTAAGTGACCACCTCCCTATCTACACACCTTTAAAGGTTAGAATTAATTTTTGTACCCTAACCATACTTTAAATATCTACAATACTATTTCTTTACTCAATGCTTTGGAAAAATCAATAAATAATTATTTTAAAATGCTGCTATATGAATATGAATCCTTGCCACAATTCTTACCTTATTGCAATGCAAACAAGATTACACCTTACACACACATCTCAAGAAAGCTGCCAATAAACACTATCATGCATTTCTGAATGACCAGTGAAAGAGAATATTTTAAAATGTAGCCGATTTTCAGTAATTCAGCACTTCTGATTAGTTTTTCTTGCTGTGGCACTTATTTTAAACAAATTTCTGACAATATGGTCATTCACTGATGCAACTACCCTAATATGTTAAATTTCATAACTTATGATTACATCACGTATTTATGTTAAGTAAAAACAGCTGTTAATAAAAATACACAAAAACTTTCTGTTCAAATCCCAATAAAGTTACTGTAATACAATAGTTGTATTTTGCTATTCTATATTATGTATCTATATTTTTTGACGTTTTTACAAATTATACATTCTACGCTTGTAAACTTATTGTTAAATTGGCTAAAGATACCAATTTTTCTGTTATACAGCCCAATTTTCCTTTCTGTTTCCACATTAGACAGGTTCCACTATATACAGGTTAATTTAAATTAATTTTTGCAAAAAATTTAAAGACCTGAAGAAATTTTCCATTAATGACAGTTTTTGCTATATACAGGTTCTGTTATAGACAGGTTTGACTGTATTTAATAAGTAATTATTGATCATAATTCAATTAAAAGATTAAATAAATTTTTTATTTACTGTGGGAAACTGCACAACAAGGTTTGCGGCACTTAATTTAATTGCTTTTCCATCTATTGTTATATTATGTTCAAATTGAAGAACTTTGTCTTGAGCTTCTTTGTTCAAAACTGTTACAACAGCTAGACTTTTCTCTTTATATAAATAAATCTATAAGAAAGAAACATAATAAACATCATAATAATTAAATAATTGGTTTTATAATTTCATTCATAAAATAAAATGTAACTGTCTTTACTTCCATGATAAATAAGTTTTAAAAATTTATATCTATTAATATACTTTATCCAATATAACAGTATTTTTCACATAATAACTTCATATAGTTTATATCAATAATTAATTATACAGGGTTATCCAAAATAAATGTTACCATTTTAAATTGCTCTGATTGTGTTAATTATTACCTGAGACATATGTGATGTACACCAATCGATAGTGTAATTATCTGAGTTTCATCTCCCACCTGAATTCAAAAGTCTTATTGTCTACTACCTCTAGGAAGTAATGAAAATAAAATTAGCAACTCCACAACAGAGATGATGTTTTGTGTTTGAACTCATTTGTCATTGTGCAACACAAGTAATCTGCAGGAGCTATAGAATTGTGAGTTCCATGAGAGAAGTAACAATGGATATGCCATAGATAGCTTAGGAAGAATCTGATTATCAGTTGGATGTGTGCCACATGACAAGAGGTACACATGTTGAGAAATTGTAATGAACAAATGTGAAAGTTGGACAGTTCTACAAAGTTCAATTTACATTAAAATGTTCTCAGATAATAATTAATATAATTACACTGATTCTTTTTGGAAGTATAATTACTTTTTGCAGTTAATATAATTTTTAATGTAATTGATAAATTTTATGAATTTTTTATCATTAATCAATAATATTTATTATTATTGATTAATGATAAATATTTATTTACATTATAAATATCTATGCTATAAAACTTCTGATTAAATTAAATTTTTTAAATGACAAAAATTATTGTCTATGTGAAGACTGAAATAATAACTTACTTTTTGAATATGTTTTGTAATAGTCTTTGGCAATTTTGATAAAACATCAACTTCGTTATATCTTGAATGTACACCTGTCATCATGATAACATCATTTAAAAGAACAGTGTTTTGAGCCATCCAATCTTCAGTTATATAAGCAGTTTGAATAGTATGATTGTGACCATTAATTGTAAAATATTGTTTTTTAATAGCATTCTGAGCTATAAAAAATATTTAACGATTAAATTAGACTTTAGATAATTTCTTAATATTTTCTAATATATTTACAAGATTTATACAAAACTACATTAGAATTATAATTATTAAATGTTTTCATTCAAGTATCAGAAATTTTAAAACTCAAAATATGATGTTGATTCTTATTGCTTCTTTTTTCTTTTAATAATAATTTTGAACAGGATCAAAAATATTAAACTCCTATAAAAAATGTAAATTTTATTAAACTTTGTATTTGTAAAACTTATAAAGTCCACAATGTAATCTGACAAATTAAATTTGCTTAAATTTTCTATAATAAAATCCAAATGTATCGACTTCACATCTAAACTAACCAATCTGAAAGAATCTTTAATTTGGCAATATAATAGTCTTGAAATTAATTGATCAGTATTCTTAATACTGTATTTCAAATGTGGTATATATTTTAAATAATCTTTAAAATAATGTTCTAAATTATACATTACAGTATACCTAAACTAACCAATCTGAAAGAATCTTTAATTTGGCCATATAATAGTCTTGAAATTAATTAATCAGTATTCTTAATACTATATTTGGAATATGGTATACATTTTAAATAATCTTTAATATAATGTTCTAAATTATACATTACAGTACAGTAATACCTTGACTTATGCTACCCCGACTTACATGAACTCAGAGTTATGCAATTTTCAAAACTCGTCGATTCGTCTTTTGTTTGAGCGCAATGCAACTCTTGATTACTCACTCCCCCCACACTATTGTTCTGCTTACATGTTCAGACGTGTCGCACGGAATCAACACATAGCTACAATTTATTTTGTGTTATTTATTTCTGTGTTTGTTATATCTACGGAGACTCGAGAGACTCTTTGTTGTGATTTCTTGTAACCGTGAACGAATCAAAAGACGAGATAAGATTTACAAGAACATTTATTAGCTTACATACATTTGACTTGGATTTTACACAAACTGGGAAACCGACTTACGCGGTTATCGCTTGGTCCCACCTATCGTGTAAGTTTGGTGTATTACTGTATATCTAAAATCAACCAATGGTCTATAACAGTGTTCTGCAAGCTTTTTCTATTCGCGGCACACCCATGACTCAACATGTCTCAACACGGCACACCAAAATGTTATTCCCCTCAAAAGTGTATGATATGATACTGTTAATAGAATTACATAATGCCACTAACCTATTATTATTAAACAGACATCAAAACCGTGAGCAAATTTATTTTACATTTAATTTCTTAAAATACATAAAATGTATGGTTTGTAATAAAGAATAAACGACATTATCTTATTTCATAAGTGCTGCGGCACTTATGAGATAACACTTGAAATACGAGCATAAGAAGCACAGCAATTGTGATAAAAATATATAAATAAAGCTTGAAATTAATAGAATATGTAAAAGTTCATGTCACACCTTACACCTTGTGATGGCACACTGGTCTATAATGTCTACCTACTTTATGAGTTTTAAGTCTGATACTGAGTTGAGGGGTTCATACATTATTAAAATTTACTATTTTCTTATATTCTTGAATCAAAAGTTCTTGTTTATGTATTTTTATCAACTTACTTAGTTTCTTCTTGATTTCTTCTAAAGGATTGCTAGGTAATAATTCGTATTCCTTTGTAGAAACTATTCGTTCTTTCTCTGATTGTAAATCTGAGTTATTTATTATTATAAGGGCATGAGACTTATCTGCTTTAATGATGGATATGTTTTTACCTTTAAAATGTTTAATTAATTGATTTCATTTTATTATTGAGAGTAATTGCTTTTTTATCTATTATATAATCCTTGCACACACCTTTTCCTTTATATTTCTGAAGATCTCTACTAAGATTCATTTGTAATTGTTTTCTTTCCTCCTGTGTTCCTGGAATTCTTTGAATGGCATTCTCCATTTCTGCTAATACTTCAATTAATTTTGAATAGATGGGTAAATTCATGTTGTATCCATACAACAATAACTGTGAATAATCCTGTGGTATATCTATACAGTAATACCCCAAACATATGCGATAGGTGGGACTGAGTGATAACAGCGTAAGTCAAATTCGCGTAAGTTGGGGTATAATTTCGCAATTTGTGTAAAATCCAAGTCGGATGTATGTAAGCTAATAAATGTTCTCGTTAATCTTATATCGTCTTTTGATTCATTCACGGTTACAAGAAATCACCACATAGAGTCTCTCAAGTCTCCATAGATATAACAAACACAGAAATAAATAACACAAAATAAATTGTAGCTATGTCTCGATTCCGCGTGACATGTCTGAACATGTAAGCTGAACAATAGTGTGAAGGGAGTGAGTAATCAAGAGTTTCGTGGCACTCAAACAAAAAACGAATCGACGAGATTCGAAAATCGCGTAACTCCAGGTTCGCGTAAGTCGGGGTAGCGTAAGTAAAGGTAATACTGTATTTGTTAAATTTATAATCAATTTATTTAGCTGTACAGGTAGCCCTTGGTTTATGCCGCAGTTCCGTTCCTACAAAAGCTGGCACAAATCGAATTGGCGTAAAACAAACCCATATATACACTGAGGTATAGGGTTAGGTTCCACATAAGTGAAAAATACACAAATAATTTTGTTTATTAATACAATATAATACAAAGTACAAATAAATTTTATTTTTAAAATGTATTTTATCATAAAATAAAGTTAAATGTTTTTATTAAAAATTTTAGTTTCCGATCTCTTACATTTTTCAGAAAAAGTATCCATCTTTAATTGTTTACATTTTTGTTTTCTTTCATTGAGAATTTTGGACTATGGTCGAATGGATGCAACGATGCTCCTTTTTACATTCGCACTTCGCTCCCAATCATTGTCTAACTCACAAAGTTCAACCTCAAACTTTCCATAGTTGAAAGGATACGTTAACCGGACGTAGAGCTACGGACGAGCGGAGACACTGATTGGTCGACCACCGGTTGCCGTAGCGCATATGTAAGGTCAGTTTGAGCGGGAAAATTAAGGAGAGATAGATATCGTCTGGCCAACGAGAAGTAGATTTGTCTTATTAATGATAGTTTGTGATCACCGGAAGTGCTACTGCAT